CAGCGTCGCCAGTAATCGAGGTAGCAGTCACATGATTTCCGACCCAAAATTTTTGGAAATCCTTCAAATTTCGTTTTCAGAGAGCTTTTTTTTTTATATTTTGAAAATTTTTGGAAGAGGTACTTCTCTTCCAAAAGTTCTGAACTCAAAAATAAATAAATAAAATTAAAATTAAAAACCCAAAAACAAAATTTGAAGGATTTCCAAAAAATTTTAGGTCTGAAATCATGTGACTGCTAGCTTGATTGCTGGCTACGCTGGCGTTGCTGGTTACGACACTTATGTGCGAAGAAGGGGCACATAAGCTCACTAACCCGATAATAATTCCCTTATATTATATGATCCAAATCACCAATGTCACGCCTCTGGCGAGTTGCCTTATCACATAAAGTCTATATTTTATAATATAGATTATCGAACATACAATTTGCGATTTCAATTATGTTAGTCAGGATTTTAGGATAATTGCATAATAAATTAAAGTATATTAAGCTTATATAGATATATGATACGAAAATGTTATAATTAATAAAATCATATAAAAGACAAAAGTAATCTCTTGTTTTAAAAAGGAAAATATAATGAATGATATACGCATATAAAACGCGGTTATAGAGATTCATACTGTAACCATCGTAAGGGAGAGCTTGGTACTGTCATGCCGAGTTTAACTTCGATGGTTGACGTTAAGGGTCACATGAGTTGGACAATAAATTATGCCATTCGGGTATTCATGGTTTATTAGGCATTTATTATAAAAAGAATGTGAATATGTGTGATCTTTATTTACAAAAGAATTTAGAAGAGCGAATGTTACCCTCAACTAAGGATGAAGACACATTCTTATATACATTCAAATTTTACAGATTATCAACACAGTGATCTCAACGCTTACGCTGTAGATTCCACATTTGACCAAAATGCAATGATTACAAGTTTATGCAATCGCGTATACGCTATAACTACCGCATATTCGCGGTTGCATGAATAAGCCTCCTACAAATACATTACAATGCCTAATACTACTAAGGTAAGATTAGCATGGCTATGGTAGTACGATTATGGAAGGTAAGTGACAACTTAAAGAACTATACAAATACGGAAGTGAAGAGACACAGGAAAAATTAATCGTTACAATACAAGTAGTTAGTTGTTTAAATCACGATGTTAAAAAAAATGCTATACTACAGCAAACGCTTCCAAGTTAGTTAGACAACGGCTATTATTTGACTTGATGAAATAATATATAGAAAAATCGACCAAAACTATATTAATTTTCTTACACAAATAACTTCGTCTTCTTTTCATATTGGTGATATTCTATTACCATTTGGACGATCTGTTAAACAAAATCCGTTATAAGGATCAAAGTTATAAATAACATGATAAATTTATATATTTTAAGTTATCACGGTACCGATAGAAATGAATAAATAGATAAATAAATACTAAAGATATGTAAGACAATTACAAACATTTTTTTGCAATGATCGTATAACACTATGTGGGTCAAAAACGATGATAATTTTTTTTTGGGCGGGTCAATAAAAATGGGTCAAATGGTCAAAAACAATGTTTTTGCTTTAGCGATTATTTCTTGATGACCACTGGATCAAATTGAACGAACTCAGTTATTTTAATTTTACAAAACTATAGACTTAAATTAATATACTTTTCTTATATTTATTTATTTATTTTTATTTTTTATTTTTATTTATTTATTATTATTAAAGGCCATGCTTGGCTTGACTTTATTGGTATTGGGGCTGTTATTTACACACTATTTATACAATAATAAGAGTACAACTAGTCACATGTACAACATTTGGTTGCCTATTTAAATAGTCTGCCCAAAGGTTCTACACTAGAAGCTGTACCTAGTGCTCGGCACAATCAAACAAAAATTTGACAGTCAAATACTTATGTTTAAATCGGATGTCAAACGATTGCAGATTAACCAAAGCTAAATATATACTATTGGTTAATCTGCAATCATTTGATGTCCGTATTACCAAGTATGTGACTGTTAAATTTTTGTTTGATTGTGCCGAGCACTAGCCGTACCTGTAATCTACCAAAAAATTACTCAATTAAACTTTCTGACTACTGCCCACCAATTTTTTAATGTCAATACATTTAAGATTATAGTTTAGGACTAAGGTTAAATTCATTTGGTATTAATTAACTGTTATGATTATTTTTGTATCTTTTAAATAAGATCTTGGATTATATGATTATATTGTATCAGAATAACATCTTAGGCTTGAGTTGTTAAATTTCGTAGTAATGTATTTATTAATACAATTTAATTTTATACAGTATTGAATAATTAGTCGTTACAATAATTAGTTTCGTATAAAATAATTGCCTGAATTATTTCGATTGACCAATGATATTTTTGCAAAATCACGGGATGATCTACAAAAATCTGCCAATTGCAATGAAAGCCCGCTATGCTTACACGAAAGATGTGAATCAAAAAAATATAGCGTAATATCGTTTGATCTCAATGTGAGGACATTCACAACAGGATATATTGATATCAAAATAACATTTATTTGCGTGATAATTATAAGTATCAGAGCGATAAGGACATTCCCTTGGTATAAAGAACAGAAGAAATAAGCATCAATTAATAAAAATTTAATGAAATCTCTGTATAAAAAATTATCAAAATCCTATTCCAGAAAATCGAGGACTAAGAAGCAGTCAGTTGCGTAAGAATATTTTAAAATTAAATGATTTTTAAAGCACATCGACAAGGTTTTGATAATACTGTACACATCACAATACGTGCGTACGTACGTACGTACTGTACGTACCGTACATCAATCAGAGATTTATTTGTAATTGATACGCAATGGGAAAAAATTACAAATAAAATCATATGATAGTTATACGTATACGTAATTTAACATAAATGAAACTGGATATCATACCAGTATCTGCTTTCCCACGTTCTTTTTTTTTTTTTTCTCTCTTTATATCGATATTACATATACGTATTTTTTTCTAAAACAACAAAAATTCTTAACGTTAACAATTAACTATTTTTAAAATAATGGAACCAATAGTTATTACACCTGTTAGTACAGAGATACATGTCGTTGTTTATGACATGAAAGTTGTTGAAATTTTTGAACTCATTGAATTTGATATGAATGAAGAAGTTAAACAGTATATAAATGAGAATTCCGAAAATCAAAAAGTATTTGAACAATATATAGAATCCACCAAAAGTGGTAATTCTGAAGATCAAAGAAAAGTATTTGAATGGTTTTTAAAATCTGCTGAAAATAATGATCCTTATGGGCAATTTTTTACGGGTGAATGTTATTATTTTGGTGTAGGAATTCCTAATGATGAAAAAAAAGCATTTGAATGGTACTTGAAATCTGCTGAAAATAATTGTCATCATGGACAATACAGAGCTGGATTATGTTATCGAAATGGTGTAGGAATTACTAGAGATGACAAAAAGGCATTTGAATGGTACCTAAAATCTGCTGAAGGTGGTAATCCTTACGGACAATTTAATCTAGGTTGTTTATTTTTAAAAGGTGTAGGAGTTACTAAAGACCCAAAAAAGGCATTTGAATGGTATCTAAAATCTGCTGAGGGTGGAAATTATAACGCACAAGCCAATGTTGGATATTGTTATAAAGATGGTGTTGGTACTACTAAAGACGAGAAAAAAGCTTTTGAATGGTTCCTGAAATCTGCTGAAAGTGGTAACATTGCTGGTCAATTCAACGTTGCATCGTGTTATTTGGATGGCAAAGGTACTAAGAAAGATGGCAAGAAAGCGTTCGAATGGTACCTAAAGTCTGCTGAATCTAATAGTAATCATGGGCAACTTAAAGTTGGGTGTTGTTATGCCGAAGGTATTGGAATAAAAAAAGATGAAAAAAAGGCATTTGAATGGTTTTTAAAATCTGCAGAGGGTGGAAATTCTTATGCGCAATGCTATGTTGGGTCTTTATTTGAAAGAGGTCTAGGTGTTATAAAAGATGAAAAAAAGGCGTTTGAATGGTATTTGAAATCTGCTGATAACGGAAGTTCTGAAGGAAAATATCGTGTCGCACGTTGTTATGAAATTGGTATTGGTGTTATTAAAGATGAAAAGAAAGCAATTAAATGGTATTTGAAATCCGCTGAAGCTGGAGATTCAGCTTCGAAACTTAATATCGGGTGTTTTTACTACCATGGTACAGGCGTCAGTAAAGATGTTAAGAAAGGATTCGAATGGTTTTTAAAAGCCGCTAATGATGGATTGAATCAAGGGCAATTATACGTTGCAATGTGTTATCAAGACGGTGTTGGAGTTGATAAAGATGAGAAAAAGGCATTTAATTGGCTCTTGAAATCAGCTGAAAATGGAAATATTGAAGGTCAATTCAGAGTTGGACTATGCTATGAAGAAGGCACAGGAGTTAATAAAGATCATAAGAAAGCGTTTAAATGGTACCTCAAATCTGCTGAAAGTGGAAATTCTGATGGACAATATAAAGTTGGTTCTTGTTACCAACACGGAATAGGCATTTCAAAAGATGAAAAGAAAGCTTTTGAATGGTATTTGAAATCTACTGAAAAAGGAAGTTTGGAGGGAGAACTTTACGTTGGATTATGCTATGATAAAGGCATTGGTGTTTCCGAAAATAAAAAGAAGGCTTTTGAATGGTATTTGAAATCTGCAGAACATGGAGAAACTATGGGTCAATTGGCAGTTGGTGATTGCTATCGCGAAGGTACAGGTGTTGGTAAAAACAATGAAGAGGCATTTAAATGGTATCTAAAAAGTGCTGAATCTGGAGATCCATTAGGACAATCTGTAGTTGGTAATTTTTATTATACAGGAATTGTTGTTCCTAAGGACGAAAAGAAGGCCTTTGAATGGTATTTAAAATCTGCTGAAGGTGGAAATACGGATGCACAGCACAATCTTGGAAGTTTTTACAGTAGAGGTATAGGTGTAGTCAAAGATGAAAAGAAAGCATTTGAATGGTATTTAAAATCTGCCGAAGGTGGAAATTCAAATGGGCAGCTTGCGGTAGGAAACTTTTATCACGAAGGTGTTGGAGTTGCAAAAAGCGAAAAAAAATCGTTTAAATGGTTCCTAAAATCCGCAGAAAACGGGAACTCTATTGCACAAGGTAGTGTCGGTGCTTGCTACGAAGAAGGAATAGGATGTGTAAAAGATGAAAAGAAAGCATTTGAATGGCATTTGAAAGCTGCTAACAATGATAATGCTTTTGGACAAATGCGTGTCGGAAAATTTTATCAAGATGGTATGGGAACTGTAAAAAATGATAGAAAAGCATATGAATGGTTTTTAAAATCTGCTAAAAATGGAGATAGTGATGGGCAAAATTTTCTTGGGGGTTGTTATGATGAAGGTATAGGCGTTACCAAAAATGAAAAGAAGGCATTTGAGTGGTACTTGAAGTCGGCAGAAAATGATAATAGTAGCGGGCAATGCAATGTCGGATGGTGTTATGAAGAAGGTTTTGGTACAATTAAAGATACAAAGAAGGCATTTGATTGGTACATGAAGTCAGCTAAAAGTAATAATCCAAAAGGATGTAACAATGTTGCATATTGTTACCTAGTTGGCAATGGAGTTACCAAAAATGATAAGGAAGCATTTAGATGGTATGTGATTTCTGCAGAAGGTGGTGACATCCAAGGGCAAGGTGGTCTTGGATTATGTTATTTAGAAGGTATTGGTACAAGTAAAGATGAAAAGAAAGGATTTACGTTGTTATTAAAATCAGCCGAAAGTGGAGATCCTAGATCACAATTTGTCGTAGGGGATTGCTACAAAAATGGTAAAGGTACTTCAAAGGATTCTAAAAAAGCATTTGAATGGTTCCTGAAGGCCGCCGAAAGAGGACACGCTACAGCATTACAACTTATCTTTGAAATGGGTGCTAAAATTGCCTGATATTTAGATTTTTAATTTGCCATTATCTATACAAAATATTCGCGCCAGCTTGATTTATTTTATATCATTTACCTATGCAAAATTTTAATCTTATGTACTTTTAATTGGCAAGTTATTATAATAAAAAAAATTTTCTTTTCCCGTTAATATAGACTTTATTGTAGTGATAGGCGCTTGCGGGATTCACACATCATCCCGCGCATAATTTTAATACGATTCTTAATTCAGTTCACTAACCAGCTTGCATTAATACGTATAATTTTGATAAAAGATGTGCATAGTTTTATACCGTATTTTCGCGTAATAACGCTCATCTGCGCGTTATTTCGAGTACTCGCATGTGCGTAATTATTTACAAATAAAAAATTTTCTTCTTGTATAAAAGGTAAACAAACAAAATACGCTTCGGAACTAGAATTGTATTAAGTAAACCTTCTTTCGAGCTTTAACAAAAGTTGTTCTTCAGAATAACTTTGTTAAAGCAGTCTCGAATTAGCGCCCATGAGCGTCCCGAATTAATGCGATAGATATGTCGATACTCCATATGCACACTCTATAAGTACATTTCAGTAAAAATTACGGGTGAACAATTTTTGTGGGTATAATAATATTTATAAAATATAGATGGAAGATGATATTATCAAAATTAAACGTTTTCAAATAAAGAAGAAGAATCATAAGAATCAATTTTTATACAAAATAATATTCAATTTATACAAAAATAGCGCTTAAAATTATAATAACTTACCGTATTGTCTCAAAATAACGCACCCGACACGTTATTTAGAGACGCGCCTGGCGTTATTCCGAGACAAATAATATGAAAATAGCAATGGGCTATCATATATATATGGGCTGCCGTCAATAGACATAAGGCAAATTAACATTTAAAAAAAAAATTAATACCTTAACTTTCACAGCTCATATCTCGATGGATTTTGAGACTATATTAATTATTTAATAGGCTAGGCAAAAGAAAGCTTATGATCTAAGCTTTCTTTGGAATATTAAACCATCAAGTTAGCTTCAAGATTTAACAAGATATGAACTATGAAAATTAAGGTGTGAATTTTTTTAATAAAATGTCAATCTGCCTTATTTCTATTGACGGTAGTCCTATTGCTGTCTTTTGTAATAAGAATTCTCAATTGTGAAAAGATATATTCTATTTAAATCAAATAGTTTGAATAAAGTGCTAATTTAATAATGCTATTTTTAGGGGGTATAATTTTTAAATAACGCCCGGCCTGTTATTTTGCGACTATAACTATATTTGAATAATCTAAAGACTATTATATTATCTTAATAAGATAAATAACAGTTTAATCAAACCTACAGTATATTATCGTAAATTGCGCATGCAAGACCTGGGTCTTATACATTCTACCAATTTTAAACCATATAATAGACCCTGGGTCTAGTATACACTGAGAAGGTTATATCGTGAAATAAAAATTTAAAGTGCATACACACTTTAGCTATTTAAAAAAAACGCATTTGATTAATATAGTTTTTGTGGTTCGCAACCGGCATGATGGAGATCTTGTATATGGCAATTTACGGTAAATGTACGTTTGAACAAAATAATATATTTTTGTATGAAATTAAATTAACCGCTATAAATTTTTTTTTCTATTATGCAAATTGGTCTTTGCTTAGTAAAAATTGTTTATTATAACGATTTGCATGTAATCTTAATATTTTATATTAAAAACCTGAACATCAAATTTGAATAACCCTATTATTTTATCTTTTTCGATTTATGTGAACAAAAGATTTAAAAAAATAAATGAAATTATTGGCTGCTTCACATCCAATAACTCTATATTATTATATAGCAATGTATTCTTGAAACCTTCTAGGTAATATTATTTTGAGTCTAATTTAACAGTTAAAGTTGTTCTTCGAATCTTAAACCATATATGATTAAATTTTATAAGAATATTCCGAGAAATATTGCATTTAAAGTAAAGTTTTAATTTTTTTTAAAATATTTTGTGCATCAGTAATGTTTGACTTGAATGTGTAGTGCAACTAAAGTTACTTACCTTGTAAAACTAAAAATCAACTATCGAATGAGCTGTTAATTTTATAAATAATCGGCTTTATAATGACCTGAATGAAAAGGTTTTGCTATTGATTATAAAAGTACCAAATTTTTATTCGGTATGTACCAATAAAATTTATAACTAATACAGTAATTTTGAAAAAAAAATTTAAGATTCATACTACACAAAAAATTTAAATTGATAAAAATTCAATCTGATTGATAATTACAAAATTAATAATTTCAAATCAGATTTGACTTTTTTAATCTTGCTAACTTTATTAGGTAAGTTAAATTTAATCCGAGATATTTAGAATTCTCAAACCAGATTAGGTTTAAAAATGTTCCCTAGCACAAACAATAGATGAAGTAGATGATAGATCCTTGCACAAGAATAACGTTCCGGACAGGGTACAAATCTCATTATAAAATGTTGGAAATTTTCCGTTTTTTTTTTTATAATAATCTATTCCGGCTGAGGTTTATAAGCTCGTATCTATATCTCTATTTAAAAAAAAAAAAAAAAAAATCATTGACGGAAAAAAGGCATTTTACATCACCCGGAACTTTGTGCCCTGGTTCCGGATGATCACACGTAGGGATGTTACGTTAATAGTAAAGATAAAATTGCATTGACTCAGTTCAGAACTCAATGTTATCTTTGACCCAAAACAGTTGAATTATCATGCCTGTTGACATGCCAAGAAACTATAAATGCTACATATATACTAATTTGTAATTTTAAAATACAATTACTTACGCATAAATAAACTTTAATTTAACCAATCAAAATTTTTGCTTCTGATTAGCCTAAATAGGTACCGTTTATCCAAAATCTTAGAAACAGTATCATGTAACTTGTTAAAACCAGTTTATGTAATTAACCGCCAGTTTGTACCTGATATAGTGCATTTTTACCAAAATTTTGAATGATTATGTCGGACTAAAATATAGCAGTTTTATTGAATACAATGAAATGACTCCATTTCGTTTTATTTCAAAATTCAGGACGTCATTCGTAAAGATAAGAAATCAGCTCATTATCCGCTAAAATTTAAATTTTTTTTTAAAATAAGATTTGTTTGAAACTTACAAAGAGTTAAAATCTATTATTTACATTATTTATAATCCGATGAAGACAGTCTTTAATAGTTACAACAAATACAATCATTTTTATAATGAAGTGTAATCATTGTCATGCGATCGTCTGGAACACACATTTTCAGAATACTGTACGTACGTACGTACGTATTTAAAAATGCTCAAGACGATCATGTTTCACATAATTCACTTGGCTGGGAATTCTTTATTTTTAAAAAAATTCTTATGTTACATGAGCCAGAATTATTTATTTGCACAACCTATAAATAAAGTGCAAAAAAGGACTTTTAAATAAAGACATAGATAGGGTAAAGTGACCTTATTCATCTTACAAGCTTTTTAATTAAAGCCTTATTGTATATTTTTTTAGAAACGTCAAAAATTACTATATATATATTTTACTTACAAATTATTGGAAGTTTAAATTAGAATTTTTGTACAATCTCTTAATTG